AGGCATTCTTTGAAAAGGTTACTGCTCACACAGATGAGGGTACGGTTGTAGATATGTGTATCTGAATTTTCAGAAAGCATCTGACAAGGTGCCACATAAAATGCTTGTTAAAAAGTTATCTCTGTAAGTGATGGGGATAGGTTGGCTAGAGGGAAGAAAGCAAAGGGTTGTTATCAAATGAAGTTCAATCAAATTGGATTGATGTTATTAGTAGGGTATCTCGGGGATTAGTGTTAGGACCTTTGCTATGTTTGATTTAAATCAACAACATAGATGAAGGAATGGCAAGTATATTATTCAAATTTGTTGATTATATTAGTTTTGGGTGTTACTGACTGTGAGGAGGATGCCACTGCCTTATAAAAGGATTTGGATTACTCAGTGAGTTAAGCAAATAAATGTCAGATGGTTTTAATTATAATAAATGCAAAGTGATGCATGTGTGATATCAAAATTTGAATTATGAGTTTAATTTTGATGGGAATAACCTTAACAGTGTTATGGAAGAAAATGATCTTGGAGTTCTGGCCGATCAGTCTTAAGTCATCCAAGCAATGTGTTGTTGCTAGTGGCAGGGCAAGAAGTATTTTAAGTTGCATCTACAGAAATACTGAATACAAAGCAAATGAGATTATAAGGTCATTTTATAAGTCATTAGTTAGGCCCCATTTGGAATACTGTGTTCAGCCTTGGGTTCCTTACCTCAGAAAGGACATTGAATTGTTGTAAATAGTTCAAAGTAGGGTTTCTAGGATGATACCTGGGATAGAAATTTTTCGTATGAGGATTAATTAAGATCTCTGAACTTGTTTTCTCTTGAAAAAAGAAGAGATAAAGCAGATCTGATTGAGGTGTTTAAGATTGTTAAGGGAATTGATAGTGTTGATGCATCATCATCTTTTTTTTTATATTTAATGGTAGGACTATAGGACACAAATATAAATTTTGGCAGAGAAAAGTCATCTTCAGCTAAGACAGTTTTATTTTTCTAGGAGGGTGTTTAGCTTCTGGAATAAGTTACCTTCAGATGTGGTGGATTCAGTTCATTTAGGGGAAAGATTGATAAATATTTGAATGATAAGGGTTAGCTTTAATTTTTTTTAAGGTTTTAGTTTAATTTATCAGATAGGATAGCCTAAATGGATGAAAGGTCATTTGCTGTCCTTTAATATTTTGTTATTATTTTATTGTACTTTGAACCCTCTCTTAGTATGTAAAAAGCAATAAATGTTAAAATGGGAGAGCTTAGGTAAGACAAACAATCAGGTTACATCATGCAACATTAAGCCTTGTGTTCCCCTCAAGTTAGTTTCCCAATACATTTTTGTATTCAATTTTTTCATTTAAGTTTTGCTATTTAAACTAGTAAGTTTCTAATTTTAACACCTTAGCTCTGAGGTTGCTTGAACTTGGGTGCCTTGTTTTTCCTACTTTTTCTTATGTTGGTTATTAAAAAAATTAGTTTTCAAATATCATGCATTTTAGAACACAAAATATACATCATTTGCTAGAATAGAATGTCTCATAAGTACTTTAACTTACCTAGCTTTCAATTTAAGACATAACTAGGTTCAAACAATTCCATTGGTGCTCAGAACAATGACTCAATATGTCATGCTTTTCTAGCCAACTTCCAAGTCTGACTGCTAAAAACTAAACAAATGAATGTAGAAGAGTGGCATATTGACATTTTACTCTTACTGGTTGTTATAAAGTATCCATTACCTACGCATCATGCGAGTTAGAGACCACACTACATCTACAACAAGATTAGAGGAACCATTTTGAGGGGTTTGACTAATTTACTGATTTATCAGCAAATCACAAACATGGGAGATTCATATTTTATATGTTGACTATGTATACTTTGGGTTTTTATTCATTTCTATCAATATTTCATGAACCTAGGTGTTTCTAATTGATTGGACACTGAAAGCCACAAAAGAAAAGAGAGAAAATCTTGAAAGTATAATTCAAACGAAGATGCATCATGTGACACAGAGAGGTGAAGATAGAGAATTTATTTAAATATTCCCTATTGAAATCAAAATATTAAAATTTAGATATTATAAAACACTGAATCATATATTATGTTTAAATGCCAAGTTTAAAGATATATTGATAACAAAGTCATTTGATTAAGTGTTCAAAGGTTGTAACATCTGCATTTTTGTCCATGTGGTTAACCGAACAACATTCATTGTTTATGGGTTTTTTTACTTTTCAACTCACCATGTAGTAACCTTAATTCATTTAGATGTGTTAATAATATTATGGTATTGCATCTAATTTATCATTCAATATCACACAGTGAACCAACTGTTAAATGATTATTTTACAGATTTCTCTTCTTTTCACCAAAGCTACAATAGAAAATATAATATTTTCAAAACAAGACCCAAAACTTGAGTGCTTTTGAATAGTTGACTATTCTTCTTTAGGAGAATAAAGGATTATGTTTAATGAGTGTGATGAAATATATAGGCTCGGATGTCGATGTCACGTAAACTGGATGTTTACAACTAGCCAATCATAACACAGAGTTGTTGGTGACAGGTTTAGTTTTGTGCCAAATGGGTGTATAAAGTTCATAAAAGAATTATGTGGGATAATAGTTATAAGAATTGTTAACTAATTTCTATGAAGATAAAATCAAAAATAAAATAAACTAAACAATAGAAATAAAATTAAATAATGGCAAAAGGCAGTGGGAAATAGAGAAAATAATAACGTAGCTCAACATATAGTAAATCAAACCAATATATAAAGATAAATTTAAGGAATAATAATACTAATAATGTAAAGTAAGTTTAACCATGAATTTAGTTTTGAAAATCTTTTCAGAGACTTGCAAAGATCAACAACCCTGGGATCGAGATTGATATCATTTGGAGTTACAGTATTTAACAGTGCTATCCAATAAGCTTCTTTAATTTCCCTGTTTCTGTTAGATGTAAAATTTGTCTCTATACCCATAACCTTGAATTGGCAAAACTGCAGTTCCCAGCAGAGGGTCCCATGATTCAAAGAATGCATTAGGCCTCTCTGCTGGGTACTGCAGTTTTGCCAATTCAAGGTTCATCATCACAGCATAGATCAGCAAACCAAAGGAATACAGATTATATTTCCTATTTTCACTTTGGTGAAAAGAAATGTAATATAAACACCTACTGTTAACTGCTAGGTGTTTTACTTGAGTCAAAATCCACTCTCTCTCTCACACACACATCTTAAAAAACAGGCAAATAATCATTCACTAAAATCAGTTTTATATTTGATCACTTATCACTAAAATATATACTATTAACTGCTAGTTCAAGTACTTGCTAGTTCAGAAGCCAGTCTATCTCTTTCTCTTTCAACCTCTGCTTTATCTTTGATGGCTTCCATTTTCAGTTCTGTGAGCTTGACCTGGGCAATGTGTTCTACCTCATCCAGCTGACCCTTAAGCTTAAGAATTTCTTCTTTGGCCAAGTCAAGCTGTGTAGATAGATGATTACAAGCCTCTTGAGTATTTGAAAGTTCTTTCTGGATAACTTCTTTCTGCATGTTCAAACCTGTCTTTTCAGACTGTTGAAAAAAAAAGATTAAGAACCCTTAAAACAACAGAAGTTTTTATAAATTAAATCACCCTATGTATTTTGCAATTTGCAAATAACTAAACATACTTCTGTTATATACATGGACCCTGAATCACCCGATAAAGACATAAAGGGAACACCTTTAGTATTGATAATTTAGACTGAACGATGTTTACTCTTATCTACAAGTAAGCTAAACCTCTGCAACATATATTGGTTAACTACCTGTTCACAGACTCGGTCAAATCAACTGACACCCTACCTGTGAAGCTATACATAATTTTTACTATAAATCTGATTTTACAATACTTATCTTCACAAAACTTTGCAAACTTGTAGTAAACATTACAAGTCTGTGTTTTGCATAAAAATGTAAGTTTTTTTAATATAAGTTATTTTTATTAAATATTTCTCTGCAAATTTTAAACCTTTTAAAACCTGCTTTCTTTTATGGCTTTGCTGCTGTTCTTTGGACCTATTTCGGCAGGTAAAAAAAAAACAAAAAACTCATAGTGAGAGCCCATCACCTGTTTCTGGTAGAGCTTCAGCTAGCGTAACTTTTGACATTTTAATTTTACTGAAGTTTTGTCAGAGTAAGACAAAAAATTTATAGTTTTTACATTTTATTTACTATAGTTAAAATAATATATCATAATAATAATAAAAACTAAAAATATACATAAAAACAAGGATTTGTAGTACTTCCTGCATACTCGGACAGTGTTCAATCAAGTTGACATTCTTCTGTAAGCCTTGTTGAGCCTCACAAATTTGGGTGTTCAAAAACATATGCATGTAGCTCTCAGATATGCACTTTATAACACAAAAAATATATCAGTCACTAGAATAGAATATCCCAAAGACTATTGAAATATATCCAGCTATAAATAAGTAAGCTATTAATAAATAGGTTAAGAAATTCCTTTAGCATTCAGAGCACTATATTATTCCTACAAACCACACAATTCCACTGAATAAGGGTATATGACAGGAAGAACTAAACAGTGACTTGCAAGAGTTATACAGAAGATAATCTGTTCTTTCTAATGGTTATAAACATACCCACCAGCCATGTAAAGTTGATTAACAAACAACCTTGAAAGTCAGAGACAGTGAAGCGGCTTCTCCAATTGGTTTGACAAATTTATTGATATCTAAACAAATTAAGAAGGTATAAGTTTCAAATTTTGGAATCTTGCTGGAATCTTTATGTAGTTTATGTTTCTAATTGGATGGAAGCTGCAGCAGCCTAATTTGGTTGTTAGAAAATTTTGAAAGGGAGAAACCAGAGTTGTCTCAACATGTGACACAGAAAAATGAAGATTGAGAATTTTTAAATATACACCTGGAAAAAAGTTAAGCACCCCCAAATATTTTTCAGGATTGCTTATTGAAAATAAGGTTTAATTTTCATGATGTTGAGCAATGTTCATAATTTCAAACATAATTAAAAGGATGTGAGCGTTCAGGTGTGACATTTAAATCAGGCGCGTTTTTTCCCCGCGTGCAACTTGCTCCCTTCTTCACGTCCAATAT